CTCGAGGGGTAGTAACAGTCAGTCTAGGGACTCAGGTGAAGCATTGTTTGTGAGGGGTAGGTCTAAGAGTAGATCTAGAAACCATAAGAAGGGCAACAACGATAAGAACAAAAACAATGACCCGGGGAAGAAGAGAGGCAAGTCTAAGAAGGGAGTGTGCTATAATTGTGGTAATTCTAGTCACTTCATTAAGGATTGTCCCCATCCGAAGAAGTCTGAACATGCTAATGTTGTAGATGATAATAATTTGCATGAAGAAGTTTTTATGATTTGTGATTCTGCAATAGCATGACTGAAAATAGCATGACTGAAAATGAGTGGTTGATTGACTCTGGTTGTACTTATCATATGACACCTTTTAGATCCCTGTTTTCTTCTTATAATCCTTGCAATGATGGTTTTGTGTCTCTGGCTGATAATAAGAAATGCAAAATACATGGGTGGGTGATGTATGCTTGAAGTTTGATAATGGGACTGTGTTTACTATGAAAAATGCGAGGCATGTTCCTGATTTGCGTCATAACTTGTTTTTTGTTGCTGCTTTTGAGGGTAGTGGGTTAGAGGGTAAATGGGGTAACGAGTGCATGAAAGTTTTGAAAAATTGTCTTGTTTTGTCTAAGGCAAAAAAGGTGAATAACTTGTATGTGTGTCATGCTCAGCCTTTCTGTGATTCTGCTCATGTTGTTAGTTCTGATAAATCTGCTTTGTGTCCTAATAGATTATGACACATGAGTAATAGGGGTTTAGAGATTTTGCATAAATCTGGTTGTTTTGGTAAGGATTATGTGTCCCCCATTCCCTTCTGTGAATCTTGTGTGTTAGGCAAGCAGCATAAGGTTACATTCCCCTCCTCCCCATATCCTAATCCACTAAGTGTACCTCTGTGTTAGAATATGTTCATGCTGATGTGTGGGGTCCTGCTAGTGTCTCTACCCACGGGGGTAAGAGATATTTTCTGTCCATCATTGATGATTTTTCTAGGAAGGTGTGGGTCCGTCTCCTTGAGCATAAGTCCGATGTCTTTGTGAAGTTTAGGGAGTGAAAAAACCTTGTAGAAAATCAAAGTGGTAAGAAGGTCAAAACCCTTAGGACAGATAATGGTCTAGAGTTTTGCAATAAGGATATGGACCAACTGTGTGTTGATTGTGGGATTAGAAGGCACAAAATTGTGCCCTATACTCCCCAACAAAATGGGATAGCCGAGAGGATGAATAGGACTGTTCTAGATAAGGTTAGGAGTATGCTTGCTACCGCCGGTTTGTCTAAAAAGTTTTGGGGTGAAGCAGTTAACACTGCTGTCTACTTGATTAACTGGTCTCCTTCTGTTCCCTTGGGTGGGAAGTGCCCTGAATATGTTTTTTCAAACAAACCCCTTGATTTGTCTAATCTTAGAGTGTTTGGGTGTGCAGCGTATGTGCACCAACAAGGTGACAAGTTGGATCCTAGGTCTAAGAAAGGAGTCTTCCTTGGTTATCCCGAGGGTGTGAAGGGGTACAAGGTTTGGGATAGGAACCAGGTAGGTTTCAAAGTTGTGGTAAGTAGAAACGTTGTTTTCAATGAATCCGAGTTTCCTTGTCTGGTTAAGTCAGTTCCTGATTCTTAGTCTGATCCTAGTAGTATACCCGTTGAGGTGGAGTCCATACCTCGTGCTGCTAGCCCTTTGTTTGCTAATCATGATAATGTTGTTTTGCATGATTCTAATTCTTCTGAATTGCATGATTCTGATTCTTCTGAGCATGACACTACCACCACTTCGAGTGAGGTGGAGCATTCTCACGTGCATTCAAATGACAATGAGTCGCATGATGAGAGTGTTGATATTCATGTAATTTCCGATTGTATGTTTGTATTTTTAACTAGTTTTTATTAGTTCTAGTTGTGGAAATTACACACTTTTGGTGTAATATTTTATTTTCATTTTTATTTGTAATTTGTTTAGATTAGGATTATTCTGAGCTAAACAGGTCAAAGATCATCGAAGGGATCAAGATTGGACCTTAAAAGATCAAGGAAAGTGCAAGGAGACAAGAAAGATTTCGATTTGGAAAAAATAATCATGTACCCGGTCGGGTATTGCCTATACCCGATCGGGTATTCACTTGATTCGATTGTCCAAATCAAATCCGGGAACAAATGATCGTGGGAGCAAATTTTCGTGAAGATTTGTCACATACCCGATCGGGTATGCCGACATACCCGATCGGGTATGCCCAGAAAAGTGACTTTCTGGGCAATTTCCTAAGATACCCGATCGGGTATCCTCTATACCCGATCGGGTATCAGACCCTGCAGCTCCCAAAAGCCTATAAATACACCCCTTTCCTTCACAATAAAATCACCAATTCACATATACTCTTTAGCTCAGTTTAGATTAGTGTTTTCTTTATATTTTCTATCATGTTTAGTCTCCAAATGAGGAGCTAAACTCTTCCATCTTGGTTTTGCTACTTTGAAGCTTAATGAATTTGTAAGTTGTGAGTTATTCTCTTTAATCTTCTTCCTTGAATATTAATTCTTCCTTTAAATACTATTTCTATATCAATGTTGGGGAGTGTTACTAAGATGACAATTAGTTAACATCTTGACATTAGTTATAGTAATAGCTATTTCTTCCTCTATGTTAATATTGGGGAGTGTTACTAAGATGACAATTAGTTAACATCTTGATATTAACTATAGTAGGATTCATCTTCTTTAATATTCTTCCTTGAGTATTAATTAATTCCTATTCATATTTCATATTAATATTTTGAACATTACTTAAAGGATCAACTAGTTTTGTTTCATATATTAATTATTACTAGAATCGGTCGATTAATACGCTTGTTATTAATTCGGTCCTTTCGCGGTAGTAAACTTGGGTTATTAATGCATGCGTTTCATGGTTAATAAACCAAGGGGAATTAATTATATTGATTAAACCAATAAACCGCTTGTGTTGAGGTTATCAATCTCAATCGTTTTCATCTTGATTTTATTGCTACTATCGAGTGAATATACGGCGCGTGTTCTATATTAACTCGGTAGTAAGTTTTATTAATGAACGCGTCTCGTTATTAATAACTACCCTCGATGAATTGGATATACTCCTCGATTGAGTATTCGAGAGGAAGATAGTTAAAGATATAACCGGGATCGACGAACATTTCATTAAGTGGATAAAAGCAAAGCCAAGTCTCCTTCTCATTAATTAAACCACATAACTCGTTCATCTTCGTATTTAATTAAATTAAATCACTCAAACCTAAACCCCCCTTTTGTTACTAGTTAATTAAAAAGAGAAATATTCCTTTCCCTGTGGATACGAACCTTACTTCATTATACTACGTATAATTGTTGTATTGTATTATTATTTTGAGTGCACACCGCGACAAAGTGCACGTCAAGTGTGGATGCTAGTGAGAATGATTTGCATGATTATCAACTTGCTAAAGATAGAAGTAGAAGAGTAATTAGGAGATCTGCTGATAGTATGCCTGATTATGCTTTCCATATGTGTGATACTTATATGTTTGCTTTCTCTGTGTTTGAGACCCTTGAGCTTAACGAACCTAGAACCTATACAGAGGCCCTTAAGTCTAATGAGTCCGCTAAATGGCTTTGCGCCATGGAAAGTGAGATGGAGTCACTTAGAGCGAATAAGACTTGGACGTTAGTTCCTAGACCGCCCAATAGTTCCGTTGTTGCCTGTAAGTGGCTATTTAAGGTTAAGGAAGAGCCTAACGACATTAGATATAAGGCTAGGTTAGTAGCTAAGGGATTTACTCAAAAGGAAGGTGCTGATTATGCTGAATTCTTTGCTCTTGTAGTTAAATTTACTACGATTAGAATGATGCTTGCTCTTGTTGCTCATAATGATTGGGAAATGAAGCAAATGGACGTCACCACTGCATTCTTGCATGGTGATTTAGATAAGAAAATCTATATGTCGCAGCCTGAGGGCTTTGTGGATCCCATGAAGAGTGATCATGCGTGTTTGCTTAGGAAGGCCTTGTACGGCCTGAAGCAGTCCCCGAGGCAGTGGAATATCAAATTTGACAAGTGCATGTCATCTTTGAAATTTCACAAGTCCGAATGCGACCATTGCCTATACTTTAAAAATACTTCTTCTGTGCCTGTATTTTTATTGCTATATGTGGATGACATGTTGATTGTTAGTCCTTCGGGTGACGCCATTAAATGTGTGCAAAAGCGTCTCAGTGAGAACTTTGCTATGAAAGACCTAGGTGATGCCAAAAGGATCCTAGGCATTAACATTGTTAGGGATAGGAGTAAGTGTGTGTTAGTTCTCAATCAGATTTCATATATTTAAAAGATTTTGAATAAATATAACATGCATTCTGCTACTCCCGTTTCTATCCCGACGGCGTCTCACTTTGTGTTAAGTAAGGATCAGTCTCCCAAGACTGCTCCTGAAATTGCTAAAATGAAATATGTGCCTTATTCCAATGCTATTGGGTCCGTGATGTATCTCATGGTGAGTACTAGACCCGACATTGCCTATGTTGTTAGTTGCTTGAGTAGGTATATGTCTAATCCTGGTTTAGATCATTGGAATGCTCTTAAGTGGTTGCTTAGGTACTTGAAATCTTCTGTTAATCATGGGTTGGTTTTCACTAGGTGTTCTGAGGGGGTTAAGTAGAGTGGGTATGTGGATTCGAATTTTGCTAACGATAGAGACAATAGGAAATCCACTACCTCTTATGTGTTTACTCTTTGTGGGTCATGCATTAGTTGGAAGTCTCAACTTCAACCCATTGTAGCCCTTTCCACCACTGAGTCGGAGTATGTGGCCGCTACCGAAGCGTTTAAGGAAGCCATTTGGCTTAAACGTCTCCTAACGGAGATTGGTAGTCTTAAGCAGGATATTTGTGTGTTTTCTGATAGTCAATCTGCTATTCAATTGTGTAAAAACCCTGTTTTTCATGATAGAACTAAGCACATTGATGTTAGATTTCATTTTATAAGTGATATTGTTAGTGCAGATCATATCAAGTTGATTAAAATTCCTTCGGAATTTAATCCTGCTGACATGGGGACTAAATGTCTCTCGGTCGAAAAGTTGTTGTCGTGCAAACGCACGTTAAACATTGATTGCGGATAAGTTGCCTGGTGATCTTACCCCGTTTGCCTGAATATGTCTTTGTGATTATTCAGGCAATCCAGCGATGTTGAGTCTCAAATTGTTTTAGAGCGTTGTGCTCTACACCACTAAGGTCCAATAAGGTGGAGATTGTGTAAGGTATTGGCCCAACTCTTTTCTTATAAGCCCAACTTACTTGTGGATGCACCCGGCCCAGCACTTTATCCCTTCTAGGTGTTCGCTCTTCAGCCTAGTCAATTTCCTTCGTCCGCCTCTTTTGCTCGGTTAATTGTGTATCTTCTTGGTAAGGAAACTTACCATTCTGATTCTGGAGCTTTGCCTATATATTGCTCGTTCTTCTCTGCTGCTAGGGCTGGCCGAACTGAACAACCCTATTCCACACAAAGATTCCGTCCATTGCTCCTCTGTGGAGCATCCCTTTGAGTTGGCCGGAAAATAGCCTGCTGGCTGACGCCCCTTTCCCCTTAGTGATTCTTAGTGGTGAAATTCATCCTTTGTGGATGAAATAGCAGACCTGAGCTGGAAGAGACCCCTTCTAACAGACATCATTGCCAAGACCTTGCCAATTATAATGGATTTAAAATTGTTAATTATATGCTGAACAAAGTTTTGACAAATGGTTGTATAAGATTAATGTAAATGAGATGGAACTTATAATCTCATAAACTAATATAGAAAAAATTCACCCTTCATATTTATTTTAAAAAATTAAATACAAAAGTTAGCTATTTGGAACAAATTTATTCTCAGATTATCAAAGAACATGCATGTCCTAGACTGTAGCATAGAACACATATGACTCGAAAAAAGTTTAAATTTATATTTATTATTAATTGTTCTTTTGTACATGCAATTTTCTATGGCAATTGCTTCGTTTGGCTATTCATGAATCATGATCTATCAAATTCTCAATGACGTATAATGCATAAGGGGCCACTGTATATAACCAACATGTCTCGGGTTCTTATCGAAGGGAGGAAACAATTTTTCCTCTCATCCTCTTTGGTGACTCCAAATCAAGACCTCACACAAAGAGAGATGATCCAATAGTTTCAACAAGTTGATGCAAAATAACGTTTATATCCATCAATTATTGTGTCAATGACATGTTTGGTACTCATTTCTAAATTTATTTCACTTGTAACTCTTTAACCGCTAGTTATGATGGAACGGTGCACATGTCCTTGCAGTTTTCCACTCCTAGCTTTCTTTCGTGTAAGGTCTAATTCTTTTTTCAATACCATTCCTAATACGGTTATGTACTACGTTTACAAAAACATTTAATCGATTCGGTCTAGTACTCTAGTCCCAATTTGGAGGAACAAGAATCGTATTCAAGTTGAGCTTATTCAAGTTACAATTTTCAATCCGATCTGAGTGATTTTCTCGCCCACCTCCTATCCGGATACAAAATCGATACTGAAACCACCCTAATTACAACTTTTGGACTTATTGGAAAAATCAATGACAATATCAACTATGGTATGAGAAGTCAAGAATTCTTAAAGTTAAAAAAACTAGAGAGGAGGATGCAAATATTCCTTTGTGAGGATGTTTGAAGATTGAAAAAGTAAAAAAAGGAAAGATGTATATCAAACATGCCATTAAAAAGTGTCCAAGAATTAAAAAATACTGGTCAATTTTAATTTTTGTATGTTTTTTCTATAAAAATACTAGTACTTAATTATCCAATAAAAACAGTTCTAAAATAAAAAAAAAATGAGATCTTCACTTTTGAGCATATTAATTGTACTCTTGGGGTACACACTTTTTGGTATACACACTTTTACAAGAAAAAATCTTAAATAAACTTGTATAAAAGTGTATATAAAAAAGTGTAATTTTTGGTGATTTTTTCCCGGTCATCCGCTTGGTTAGCGTGATCCTTTCCCGTTCAATATAACATTTCATTGAGACGGAAAGACTCGAAATAAGGGTTCGAAAATAGAAATAAGGGTAGCTGTTAACCGCCCTTTGCATTTGCAACGGCAGTTCAAAATTCTGTTACGGTTATCAACAGGCGTCAACCGGCGCCAACGGTACGAGAAGGTTATTACATTCACTTCCGAGTTCCAAATGGAGAGGATCAGTATTGTTTCTTCCCCTTCTCATCTCATTGTGCGACAAAGAATAGGTACTCTTCCTTCTTACACCTCCATTTCTAAATGCATCTATTTCTTCTTTAGCATTACTCCTACAATATGCACTAATTCGTGTTATCTTCTTTCATTGCCTTAAATTTCATCCAAAACATAACAAATACACAGCAATACTTAGTATGCTTTAATTTAGAAGTACAACAACGAATTGCTCCACTTAATTGCTCTACTTTAAGAGAAAGTTTTATACGGCTACCCACTTAAGCATTGTTTTGCTTCAAGTTCTCTGCCGGTCTGCTGTTTATATTCACTAGATATTGCTAATATAAACACTTTCAGGATTCACCAAATGTGGATTTCTTGTTATTAAAAAAAACTATACTTCATGCTTACAAAGTGTTTGGTAAAAAACCTCAAACAAATTTCATAGCACTTATTGTTACTGCCTTAGCAATAACTATAACCATATTTCTCATCCTTCCCTTAAAAATAACATCACAGGTGCTTGCAAAATAGATCAACGCCATTGCTTGAAAGACGTACACAGAAATTATGTAGTAGAAAAGCATATAGAAAAACACCAGCATTATTCATACGATAAGGACTTACTAGATTGAATTACACGACTTTAAAAAAAGTTATAGTACAAGGTTTTATAAAATCGTTGAAAGGATGTATACGATTAGTATACCGTGCCATTTTAACCCAAAAATGCTAACAAACCCAGCAAACTTCCTAGAGTCTTGTGATGGTTTGAATAAAAAAACTTCATAAACAGACCCATTCCTTTAGGAATCATTGGAATACGACAATATTCAGTCCAATATATCAGAATAGTTCATAGATAAGTTTTTTTTATAAAGCAGTTGATAGATAAGTTAAAATATGTAAGATTAAAAACTTCAAATCTTTATCTTTATATACATAAAAATGGAACAGGCCGGGAAAACCCTATTCACGCCCGATTCCTTTTTAGTATATACATATAGCTGATACATCGAAGTGCAAACACGTGATCATTGATCAAATAGAAACACCAATTCGGGCTAAATAAATTATTGAAAATGTAAAGGTACCAGTTTCAACCTGTAAATCTGATTAGGTAAAATCTGACAGATGTGTTTCCTTATTAAAAACAACCTATGTGGCCTTTTCAGATAAAAATTATGAATTACATCATAAGCGCGCCACACCCTCGGAATTCTCACAGTTATTTCTGGCGGTTTCCATTCAGCAGTTTTTATTTTGCAGTTTCCTGGACAGAACTTTCACGTATATGTGAATTCAACTAGTTACTAAAATACTGATGTATTTGCTGTTCTATACTTCTACAACATCTATTTCATACTTCCTGTCTCAGATTAGTAATTTTTAATATTTTTATTTGATATTAGCCAATATTTGATACTTCTAATTTATTGTTACCGTGATATTATTTGGGACAGGGTGGTACTACCAACAGGCTGAACACCATTGGCTACAATCAATTCTCAAGGAGGAAGAAACACTTACAAGTTAACGAGGCTAAGGTGGTGGACTGGTGGTAATCCAAGAAAGTACCATTAGAAAATCAAGTAACAGTACAAGCATTGAAAACAAGTGGACTAGAGCACTTTTTCGGGTACACTTTAAATCAAATATTTTGAATTAACCGTTATTCGTCTTTACATTTTACTGTTTTATTAGTATCCTTATATTTCTATATAAGGATATTTTTTCACTTAAGAAAATTGTTAGTATTTATATTACCAAGCATTTGTAATGATATAAAGATATATTAAAAGAATATTAGCTTATATAAATGTTTCCAGTTAAACCAGAACTAACTGCTAAAAAATTGCTCAGAATATCCAGTTTTAAACAACATTTTGAAGGAGTATTTGAATATGTAAGTCTTAGCAAGGAATAGATTGGAGGAAATATAAAACTACATAACGTTTCAAAGTTTTTTCTAATGCGTGAAGATTAAATGTATAAAGAGATTAGATTTTACTATTTTAGAAGCAATGTTTTCAAATAAAACAAAATTTGAAGATTACATACTCATATTGGTCAGTGCACTTATGACCACTACTAATAACAGTTCGGTTAGTAAGACATGAAATAAACACACAGGCTGCTTACTAACCAAAACAGGTGATTTAAGTGCCACTTACAAAGCGTACCACTCCCATGTATAAATTAAGCGGCAGTTTAAGCTTTTTCACCCTTACCGTTACCTCTACCCCACCCCAACCTACCCATACCCGTACCCCTCCCCTACCCGTACTCATACCTTATCCATACACCGTTTAAATCTAGGAAGTAAACGTGAGCTTATAGCACTACTTATTTTATGTGTCGCTTATTAACGCAAGTCTTAATAAGTACCGCTTAGTAACCTGTCAAGTAAACATGTTCTAGAAGTTTTAGAGAGAAGCGGTGTTTGGTTAGCAAGAAGGAGCGATAGGTTAAAGAGGAGCGTTGAGATATTGAGAAGCGGTGTGGAATGTCTACTGGGCTTACTTCGAATGGGCAATACAAATTTTGGGCAGACTAGAGCTTTTTGTAATCAGATTGGGCCAAGGTTTTTGTGGGTTGATTTGTTAACAGGCCTAAATAAACAGATTGTCCAAATGAGGGTGCTAGCTACTTTTTGGGAAATAAAAAATTATGGAGTAATTGAAACTGAATAATCATCATGAGCCCTGGCCGGTCCCAGAGTAAAAAATATGTTTGAGTATTAGTGTAAAATTTGGTTTAACAATTTATCAAATATAAGAAAATGGTGTGCGCATTAGGACTTTTAATGATAATTTCGCAAATAAATTTTATTTCAATAATATTTAATGGGTCATCCGGAAACGGTTTCTCTGTGCTTTAGTACAGGGGTAAGACTAGTACATCCGACCCCCACTTACCCCTCCGAAAGTGTGGAAGCCTTTTGGGCAATGGGGTAATGATAATGAATGAATATTTAAGAATGAAAATTTAAAATTATTTTCAAAGCTAATTTCAAATTTTGTAACGTAGACTAGAAGAAGTAATAAATTAACTTGAAATTAATTATTAAAACTTGAATTTAAAACTCAAAACACTAAAGCCAATGGTCATTAACGGTTTATTACTTCCCGCGCAGACTATTCTATCCATTTCCTAAAATACAACCATTTCATTTCTGCTGCCTCTTTTCACTCTCGCCTTCATACCGCCAAGTTTAACTGTCATATCGTGGGGCCCAATAGGGCCGGAAAATGGCAGGCCCTTCAAACTTCGGATCTGTCCTCCCTCATCCTCATCCTTTTGATCACCCTCCTCTTCCATTGAATCAAAGCCATGAAATTCCAAACACCTTCCCGGAACTGCAATGGAGTCAAGAACCTGCCGACCCTCCAAATAATCCCACTCTCTCACAACCAGGTTGTCCTTTTAACGACGTTCATCAGTTTCCTGGTCAACCAAATGCTGCCTTTAATACCTATGCGGACCCTCTGCTTGAAGAATTATTACTTCAGGAGTGCTTCCCTGACGCCGGAGTTTCAAGAACTTTCCCAGAGGTTAATGGTCATGGTGATCCAGAGTACGCAGAGAATTCGACAACACCGACTACTGCTATATGGCCAGCAATGACTTTACCGTCTCCGACGTCTATCTGTAATGCCTGTTTGGTCCTTCGTGAAATAAGCCATACAAATGGTGCGTGTTGTACAGCAAATTAAAGTTTCTAAATTTCAAGTTTTACATATTTACATAGTACTACATACCTGTTATGTATATATAGAGTTTTTGAAATGGAAATGTAGTATTTTTTTTGAATTTTCGTGCTCATAAGTTGCAACATTGCATGTATATAGCATGGATAGAATTGTTGGTCTGTGCTCTCATACTTAGTAATGATCACTTTGTTAGGTTTGCATATATGGAAACTTCAATTGCATGGAAGTATTGGAATGATCACTCATGCGGTCATAGAGAAACTCTCTTCGGACTTTTCTCTACATCCACAGTACCAAACTTTCGAGTAAGATGATTAGTTAATTAATTAATCCTGCTTATATTTCTGCAAACCTTGGCCACTAAGGACCTTTTCATATAAATTACTTCTACTACACAAAATTTGTTACCTATAAATTGAAGGATTTATAGAGTTTCGATCAGTCGAAGCTTGGCATAGCCCCCTGACTATGAACACGGTGTCCTCTGATTTTTACTCCCTTTACAATGTTTACTCTTAAAAGAAATTGCACAAAATAGGAGTAAAAACGTTTATGAATTTCAAAATATAATTTTTATATTTGTATTCCCTAAACTGAAGTAACTACTTGTTAGAACCTGCAGATTATCTAACAGTTTACAGAAATTGATTCAAGAACTCAAAGGCAACTTTTATTGAATCTCCTTAGGCAACTGGCCGAAGCCCCCAAATGAAAAGAAAGAGAGGCTCGTCTCTAACTCCCCAATCCCAAGACTAATGTCTAAAGTTTAAACAGCCTCCTAACAACTTCCAAATGTATTCTCTTTATAGTAAGTAAGGCTAACCACCGGCAGTTATTAGTTCATAACAGACTATACTAATAACAACCCTACTTCCTTCTAGAATACACTTTATTAGAGTATTTATCTCCTCTCTTCATATTAGTAAAGTCTCTATCACTACTATCACGTTTTGGTATTACTAGACTCTAAACATGATACTTCTCAAAGTTTGATAGTAATTACTTCTATTTAGAGAATAAAAACATGACAGTCCAATTTTGGAATTTCAAAAGCATTTTTAATCCTACTTCAAAAAAAATATTGGTTTCTTGTCGAAAGTGTTGCAGCACTCATTCCTTTTACCAATTATAAGTGAATCAAAAGCATGTTTTTTTTTTCTATTTCATATTTGTAGTTACAATTCCTTTTCTACTTACATGTTCACTATTTCACAATAACAATAGTTGTAAGTTGTAACATTGGTTTTTTTTTGTGTCGGCGTGTTGCAGCTTTTGCAAGGAAAGTGTGGATACAGTGAAGCAATTTTTGGTTAGGTATTTTGAGGATCGTAAACAAGAGGGATACATTGTGCTTCAAGACCCATTATGGGAGTTCTATGATGCTATGAGTGTTGGATTGGGAGGAGGGACTGATTTTTTGGACATTGACTCCTTTTTTGAACTACCTCCTTCAACTTCAGGTGCTCACATCTATCAATGTATATATATTTTTAGGGACTACATTTCGGTTTTCTATTCCGTTATCTCAGTTTTGGACTTCGATCGAATGTGACTTAAAACACGCTAAAAGAATTATCACTAAATTCACATTGCATTATGCATTTTTTATATAGTTTGGTTACTCCGATGTTAGTCTAGCTCAATTTAATATGATCTGGAAAAATAATATCAAAGTAAAACTAAATTGCATATTTTTCAACTTAAATTTTATTCTAATGAGTTAATTTGGGGACTAATAATAGAACTTTTCATGTTTTAGTGAAGCGAGGTACTATGGAGAAAAGTTTGGTACATAAGACCAACTATATGTTATGGGAATGTCATTTAGCTCAGTGATTAGGCGAAAACTTTTTAGTCGCACTAAAACCACTAATGTTTTGTTGGAATAGAATAATCTATTAAAATACGGAATATGAGAGTATTGTATGAAAAACACATTTTATAAACAAGTTAGTCAAAATAGCATATTTAGGATTATTAGTAAATGTGTCATAAGACTTGTAAATAAATGAAAACCAACCTACAAGCACTAAAGGGTGACTCTCATAACATTACTAACATTTTAATTTTTGCAAGTACAGGTGGTGATCAATTGATGAATCAACCAGGCATACCAAACCAAAACAATGCACCAGAGGATGGGAACATACCCCAAAAGATCCCTCTTTCTACACAGAGGGAAAGAACTGGAAAGTTGAAATTAAAAGACTTTGCAGGGTACCTTCATCTCCCCATAGAAGAAGCAGCAAGGAGAATGAACATCTGCCCTACCGTAATGAAGAAGATATGCAGGAGAGATGGGTTGGTGCGTTGGCCTTACAGAAAGGTGAGAAGCATCCAAAGGAAAATAGTGAACAAGTCGAAAAGCTTATCTGTGAATGACGCCGAAGTGAGGGATCGCACTCAAGTTGAAATCCTAGAGCTTCAGCAACAACTCGCCAACATTTCTGAAGCATTCTTTGGTTGATTTGTATATATGTGTACATTTATTTTTGTAGCAAAAATCAATTCTTTGAAAGGGTGTTTAAATAAAAAATAAAATAAAAATGATATTAGGAGTTATATTCATACTTAAGAGAAATGTAAATCGTAATCATATCGTAGTTTGTAAATATACATGTAATTATATTGTATGATTAAGTCATAATTAAGTATTTCAGTTTGTGTGATTGGTACTAAAGTTTATCTATTTATTACTATCTTTGTCTCGCTCAACTTTGAAATCAACTCTACATTCGCCTAAGTTATTTCAATTTTTCATTTTCAATTGTTTCATAAACTTTGCAACTTACGGGGTGCATTGAATATGGATTGTGGTGGACTTTTTTTAAACCATAGACTTCTAAAAAAGTCTATGAACTTTTAAATCCATAGATTTTTTTTTTTAAATGAATTCTATTGACTTTTAAATCCATGGATTAAGTTTATAGACTTTTAAAAAGATCATCGACTTTTAAATCCGAACTGTCGCTACCAGTCATCGAAATTTCACTTAGATCGCTGCCGGTCATCGAAATTTCACTTAAATCGAAATTTCAATAATTTAGATTTATTTTAACCTTTTAAGAATTCTGGAGGGTGTTGGGAGATATTATCTTTCTTGTTTCTCTTTGATTTCACCTGTGTAAATCATTCTAATATTGTTGTAGCATTCGGTAACCTTTCAATGATTATGCTATTGTCATTTTTCCCTCAACAATTTCCACCTCGGTGTTTTTCGGTGTGATAACCTGTGCGGCAGATTCCGCCACTTGTTCTCGTGCAACCCTAACTATTCATAATCCTCAGCGCTTACTGTGATCTCCATATTTCCCACACGGACAATTGTTTCCTACTCCAACCCCTCCCTCTGTGTCACCTTAAGTTCACTTTCTTTATACGTACTAACATTCTTATAAAATTTCATAAAACAAATTCACTTGAAAGCAGATTAGTCTAATATGATTATTTGATTAGTTTATTAATTGATTCCATTGATAGTTGATTGTTTGATTTCTTAATTGTTGATTGTTTTCTATTGAGTGTTAGTGTTATAACTTGTTGATTTTGTTAGACAAACATCTTCAATAATTAATTTTTTTATAAACTTAATTAATTTCAAGGTGTAATATAAAGGATATAATCTGACTAAGATAAATAAAAAGAGGAGAAGATTAGAGAAAACGCCACAAAGTAAAAAGGGTTCAATGGAAAAGTTTGTTTGTGAAAGGAAATCAAGTTCTGAATGTCTTTCTCAAGATGAGAACTTATAGAAGAACAATGATTTAGCTACTGAACATGAAATGATTCACAATGATTACATCATTGGAGGAGAAAATTTAGGTGTTGATAATAATAGAGTTAATTCCTTAAATATGCCTTAAACATTGGTAAAGTGTACAAATAGGACCATCGTTGTTGTCTTCCTAAATAAGGATCACCAATATCATAATATGATTGATTTAGACAAAATAGGGTTTTACAATTTTTTATAAACGTCTTGATAGTTGATACTCTGTATACAATTTTTTTGTAACATTAGACACATTTTAATTCTCTCCCTCTAGACCTTACATATAGGGCCGGTCCTGATTGCTAGTTTGCTACTATGACCATCTGAAAACAGGGCCGGTCCTTCCCTTAGGCCAGTGAGGCTTGGGCCTCAGGGCCCCAAAAAAAATTAAAAATTAGGGGCCCAAGAATTTTAAAAACATTTATATTATATGGGGATGTTTGGATCTGGTTTTAAAACTGCTTCTGCTCCTTGAAGGAGCAGAATCAGAAGTTGGAGTCTTTGGTTAAAAATGCAAAACTGATTTTGGAGCTCAAATTTACTCATAGAATCAGTTTTTTAGAAGTTGGGGAGGGCCAGCTTCTAAAAACTAATTCTGCTTCTGCTTTAAAAAAGAAGCAGAATCAAAATCAGTTCCAAACAACCCCTATATTTACTAAAAAACAAGCGGGACAATAGAGATATCAATGAAGTAGTGAAGTACAAACATGAAGTCCCAAATTTGTCGATATGTTATTATTTCCAAAAATCTAGCTTTTATTATGATTTGCTAATTTGATGAATTATTGATTTGTAAATACCCAAATGAACTAGCTTATTAACTTCTATTTTCTATAACTATTTGCTATAACTATTTACTAAATCTTATATTATTGGCTGGGATTTGAAGTATCTGCATAAACAAATGCTATTTAAAAATTAAAAAGTAAGTTGATTTTTATTTGTCTTACAAACTAGTCAAGCAGGGTCATGCCTTGCAATTGATATTTTATATTTGAGAATTTAGATCTATTTTTTATTAAGATTATCGTGATAAAAATTGTGTAATTTTCAATCCAAAATTAATCAAAATTGTGATTTTTTAATGTTATAACGTAAGAATTTTATTTTAAGTATTGAGTTTTTTGTGATATTAATCCTCTATTTCTAAATATGTTGTATTATAAAACAAATACTATGTATAGGGCCCTTTTATGAAAGCTCGACTCAGGCCCCAGTTTATGTAGGCTAGGCATTGTCTGAAAAGCAGGAAGATGGTGTCACTTTGCATTGATAATGTGGCATATTACCCACACCATCGTGTCAACTGCCAAGAGTCTTTTGAAATTTGGCAGATCACTTTGCATTGATAATAGGAAAATGCTATGTAAGTTGGAGATAGATGGTCAAACCACAACATGAAAAAAGATTGGGGTACACACTTTTTGTACACACAATTTGTACACTTGTCTGTCACCCACAGACAAGTTGTCTGTCGCGAGATGAGTTGTCTGTCCACAGACAACTCATCTCGCGACAGACAACTTGTCTGTGGGTGACAGACAAGTGTACAAATTGTGTGTACAAAAAGTGTGTACCCCTAGCTCCACCCCCACAACATTCGTTACTTAATTGGGATCGACGGTGAAACCGATTTAAATGCTTATTTATTTGGCGACCTAATTTTTACATATTTTCTAGTTTTGATTTGGATCTGAGTAGCAAGAACAGCTATGTTGAGGAGCGTCTATGGACTATGTCACTATGGTGATAAAAGAATCTACACCTAATTAACGGTTATTTTTCATTGAGATCTTTCAATTTTATGTCTCATCTAGGGATGGACCGGGATATGGCTGCCAAACCCGGGACCGACCTGCCAATGCTTAGGCCCAGCCCGACCTGATTTCTAGGACCGCTACCAGGCCTAGTACGCGGCTCAGTAGAAAAGGGAGGCAGGCTCGGGCTCCTATATTGGTGGACCGCCCGAGCCGGGCTTAACGGTCACCAATTACTTTTTTTTCTCCCCATTGGGTTGGCTGATAGGTGGGTGGGGCTAGGCGGTTTGGGGTTGGGGTTGGGGGCTAGAATTAATTAAAAAAACAAAATTAACAAAAAAATAATAAAGGCCTAACCCGACTCGGGCCCGGACCAGAACCAGTACTGGTACAAACCGGGATGGTACCGGACCCGATTTTCTTAGTCTTGAAGCCTGCTCGGCCCCAGGGCCGGCCAGCCCGGCCCAGTCCACCCCTAGTCTCATCAGTCATCCCATTGTATCCTTAAATTATCCAAATGTTTTTGTATTTTTTTATTTAAGGAAAAAATGATTCAAATACCCTACACTTTGAAGGAATGTGAGGTTAACACTCCAAACTTGCATGTGTATTTTAAATATCCCAAACTTTGCATAAAAAGTTTGTTAGCACCATGGTCATATGTTTTTTTCTTCAAAAATATACATTGATGATATTAATTGCATAATTTAAAATATTACAATTTCAATTATTAAGCGTTGGATGAGACTGGTGTGGACTCGGGCCGGTTCGGGCCCGGGCTGGGCCTAGGCCCGACCGGGCCGCCGGTTAGGATATGTTGGACCCGGGACCGGCCCGGGTAGCCACCGGGTCCGGGCCGGGCCTCGGGCCTCTTTCATTTTTTTTCCTTTTTCTAATTACCCCTGTTGAGGTTTATTCCTTCAACCTTCAGGCCCAACACGTAAGCCCAAAGATTTCGAGTGGAGTGCGTATGAGTAACTAGCCCAACAAACAGATGATAAGGGTCAAGAAACAATAAAGTAGCAAGTAAGTGATTAGGTATTATTATCTCTTAATAACTCCCTAATACAATACTCTTTGCTAAGGCTCCGTCGGCCGTTCGTCTTACAAGGCAGTAGAAGTGCTGCGAATAAGAATGCTATAGCTAGGGTGCTAAGAATAGAAAGTTGCCAACCCTTTACAATGAAATAAATGCTTCTATTTATACCCGCCAATGGGCAGGTGGCTATGCTGACGTGGAGGCCTGCGGACCGCTTGTGTCCCAACCACCAAATCTTCTGCATTAAATGCACTTCCCGCCAGAATCTAGGCTTCCCGCCTAAATAATGGGGACGTTCGTCCGCCGGGGGTGAGCTGGGTCACTCCAAGTGACCCTCAAGAGACTTCGGCTGTTCGTCCCCTGACCTTGTGGATTCCCTCCATGTGGACCGGATCTCCTCCGATGATCATGGGCCTGCCCAGGAGACGTTCGTCGTTACCCCTGGTGGCTAGTGGTCCTGCCTCTTGCCTCTGCACAGACGTTCGTCACGATGGGCCGTTTGAACCTGGGCCCCCCAATTCCAGACGTTCGTCTCTTCCCAAGGGTCCTGGGCCTGCGCCCAGCCTGGTCCTAGCTTGACGAGCGTCCGATAAAAACAAAGGGGGTTAATGGGCCGGACCTCGGCCTGGGCCATTATCCCAACACAAGTCCCCCACTTCTGATGTTCTGAGCATGCGCAGGACATAAGGAAGTATAGGTGCCCCGAAGTGGACGTTCGTGTCTTTGATACTTGTGTGTCTCATTCGCATTTGGCGGAAGCGTACGCTCGTGGTCATGGTGCTTAACAGCTGTCGACGGTTCAGGAAACGAGGTGACGGCTGCTGTAGCGGCGGTGCACTTTCCGAGGAAATGCCATCATTACGTTTTCGCCCCACGCACAGCGCGTGAGCCGGAATACGCTCCTTGCCACGTGTCCGTCCCTCGTTGGTCCCCCCGCCGGTGTCTCTCCTATAAATGCCGGGTTTCCCCCCTAAATTAGGGTTCCCAATTTTTGCTCTCCTGCTCTCGTGTTCCCGCAGTTCTTCAAGTCTTCTCCCGTTTTCAAGCTCGGCTAACTCCTTGCTAAGGTAATTTCCACCCCCTGCTTCTTTTCTTTGTCTTGAATTCTTGCCGAGATGGTTTCGATGGAGATCTCGTC